TCACTCACTCACTCTCATTCTCTCTCTCCCTCCCCCCTCTCTCCCCCATCCTCCCTCCCTCTCTCTTACCTATACATTTCCTGAGCAATATTACACGAACATCATGGAACAAGCCTCATTAAATTAGTTTCGGCGAGGTATTAATTAGGTCGCTAATGCGTTATTAAGGACATCAATTGTTACTGTAATTTCTCCATCGATGACGTAACATTTCGAAGTTTGGTGAATCAGATACAGTAAATTTAATTTTAATTTCACGATTCCACATTTGTGTCTTTATAAAAAATTCTAGAAGCAAAAGGTTTTTTTTTGTCTTTATTTACTTTATAGTAAAAATTTAAACTGTAAGTAAAAGAAGTTTGCTTTGTAAGATAACAAGCTTTATTATTTTTCTTCTATTGTTATTAATTATTTTATATTTAAAACACGTAAATTAAACAAACATATTATTATTTATTTTATATATGTATAGATTCATTGTTAAATAATCTTTAGTACCATTATTTTAACTATTTTCGTTATTTCAGTTATAAGAATACAATGGCTTCTATTCCTGTTATTTTATTCAACTTCGTGTGACTTTTTTAGTCTTAGAATTCTTTATTTTTTTAGAATGTGTCAAAATATATATGACCTTACGTTACGCTTTTCGTGCTGGAAGTTTTGCGTTGGTAATTTAGGACTTAAAACGAAGTGAACCTCACGAAAAGAATGGGACGGGACGTAATGACAGGAATAAATTAGGGAAGCCACGTAATAAATGTAAATACGCGTGGTTATGCTAAGCAGACGCGCAAGAGAGAAGGTGAAAACTTAATTTTGCCACGAAGCAGAAATTGCACTTTAATTCTGTCGCCGGCACGCGACTTGACCCTTGCCACGCGAGACTTAATTAGATAAACATTATTTCCCGCACACGGTACTATGCAGTTACTTGCCGTTCGGAATAGTTAAATTTAGTGTTTCACCTGCACGAACAAACATGTCGGGAAAAACAAAAGTTTGTTTTATTCTTTGC